GGGGGAGGAAAAGGATAGAGAGGATAAAGAGAGTGATAAGGATGAAGAGGATGATGAGGGTGATAAGGACAATGAAGAAGAAGAGGACGAGGACGATCAGGATGAATAGCCACAGTTGTTAAAATAAATTAGTTCAATATTTATTTCTCCAGTTATCAGTAGAACTGGAATTCTTATTTTTGAGAATCCACAAAGTCTAACATCTTGCTCATGGCTTGTTTTGCCTCTGGGAAATAGTATTCGAAAAATGGATGACAATGAATCATCATATTGTCAGCAATCACCTGCACAGATGGATGTTTGATATCCTTCAAAATTTGAATAAAAGCCTCATTGTCTTTGGTTACTTCCTCATCCTTGGAATAAATAATTAAAAGATTGGTTTCATGAATTCTCTTGTTGACATTCTTCCATGTAACAAGTGGAGATTCCTCTTCTTTGAAAAGTCTTTGCATTATCGAAATCATTCGATCGGTGCTCATCAAAGTATTTCTAGCATTCATGCTACTAGTGCCCAATTTCAATGTTAAATCATAAGGACCACCAACCAAAACTGCAGCTTTAGGCATTGGAAGATTCTCCACAGCAGCTCTTCTCAAAAACTCTGCTGAAAGAGAAGCACCAAATGAACTTCCAACCAGCACAATATCCTCCGCATTAAACTTTTTCAATAGCCACTGATAAGCTTGAATGACATCATCCGTCTGTTCACTCAATTTTGTTGCAAATTCATTCTTCTTGTGTTTTTCCTCTTCCGTTAAAGCCATCAATCGATATCCCACCGAGAGAATATGAGTCAATGAACTATTAAATCTCGTTTGCATATGCTCAACAATACTTCCGAGTTCAAGTCCTCCAGGTTTACCAGCAAAGCCTCCTCCACCATGAATCAAGAACAAAACTTTTCCTCTTTTATCCTTTCCAAAGTATTGATCCAAATAGAAACGATCTCTCAGATGAACAAACATTGAATTTCTAATTTCAGGAATTGATTGAAAACTCAAAGAATTATGATAGGAAACGGGAGGAGCCAATGATATCATACCCTCTCTCATGGCAACGTCCGATTCAAGTTTTCTTCCAGCATTAAACCGAACAAAATTATAGAAAGTTTGAGCCTCTAATGAAACTTCTTTCCAATCCGGAGTGGTAATTCCCATCATGGTACTTTGTGGGTTTCCGATACTCATTCCTAAATATTTATTTCTCAACAAGACGGCATTGAAAATGGTTCTAATGACGAATACCTGAGTGGAATATTTAGTGTTGTAATTAATAACGAGTCCAACTGCCAACAAGGCAGCAAGGATGAAAAGAGAGAACGCATTCTCAGAATATGCGTGAGGTGTGTGTGGATATTTTTTTATTGATTTCAATTTTTTTTTAATAATTTAATAATTTAATAATTTTGTTTTGATTGTGGAACAGAGCTTTCATGATCACCACCAGCACCACTACCAGAGACATAAGGGACTCCATTGCCAGATCAAAATTCTTCGAAAGATCGGTTTGAAAATGAAAGAATGGTTCGATGAAAAGTGTCGTCTGATCATGAAATTTGATTGCATTTTGCAAATTTGAATGAATACTTGAAACAGCCATTTCACACACATGCTAATTATTATTTGAATGGATGGGAATCTTGAATTTGTTGTGTAATTTTTTCGCTTAATAGTTTCACACTTGAAGTCACTTCTTGAGCGCTCGTTCCAAATATTTGTTCTGAAACTTTCATTTGAATAGGTGAAGTGAGATTTATACTTGTTTGAGGATCATTGGTGGACGAAGCAGATCCTTGTTGTCTTATTTGACTGGTAGATTTGTGTTCCATAAATTCCTGAAAGTTCATAATGTTACTATTGAAAAGTAATCAACGTGTTCAATGAGAGATTTGACAATACTTTGTGCTGATTTGTAGCTCTGTAAAATTCTGTGGGTTCAGTATATAAAATGACATGTGACGAATACGAATTATGGTTAAAATGAATATTCGTGTCACATGTGAGAAATAATAATAATAATAATGTTGAATAATATTAAATTTTTTCATAATTGTCTAAAAAACATACTCGCTTTGTGATAATGGTTCTTGACTCTCCAGAAAAGGATGTGACACGAGAAGTGGATCTTTCTGTTTACTGTCTGGAGCTCTCAAAATATTTGGAGAAAAGACAATTGCCAAATTTTCTATATTCATTCGATTCTTTTCACTGTTTTTTGCTAATTCACTTAAAAATAAACATAATTGTTGCAATATTCTAATAAATGAAAATATCATTACATAAATGTTCAATAACCAAATATAAAATAACCAAATATGAATAACCAAATATTAAATATTCAATTGGATATTTCCATCCATGGAGTTCATTGTTCATATATTGAATGAAAGCAAAATATATCAATAATCTCACACCACCTACATTTGATTCGTTGGTGGCAAATAAGCCAACAGCTTTTTCAAACATTCCAATCTCGAGCAGAAATCTGGAATTGAATCTGCAATCATGAACATGTCATAACACTCAAAGCTGATCAACGGATTTGGTAATTCCCTAAAATACATCTTCACCAACGATGCCACATTATGAATATTTTCAATTTCACTCAACTCAATAGCTTCTCCTGAATTTAATTTTGATTTTAATTTTAAAACGTCTCCGGCATGACCGGAAATTCGAAAAAGGCCTTCAATGTCTTTGGCATGTTTTAATATAAAGTCCATTGCTTGAATGATGAATTCTGGAAGAGTATCGTGATCGAGAGGTTCTCCGAAGTGGACTTTGACGAGATAGGATTTTGAGGAGGATTTTTTAAGTGACGATGATGAAGCTTGTGTGACTTCTTTCTGC